GACACCAGCCATCACAAAAAAAGAACCCAGGACCCAACCCATTTGAGGAGAGGGGAGAAGCCACTCCAAATAATAAGCACCAGAGAGGACGCTTAAGCCACACCTCTGGGGAGGGGGCTATATGAGTCTGTATAGGTGGCAAGCACAATACAGAAAATAGAGTAGTATAAAATACATGAGCTATTGCAATTATTTTAAAATGGAAGGGTTTTTAATGAAGCTCCTTATAACGGGACCCTCACCCCTGGAGTGTCCCTTGTGACCTAGTGCAGCACTACAGTTAACTCCCTGCATCAGTTTCTGCTAATGCACTTTCAATAAGTCCAATGAGGCATGTGTATATTAAGCAGTGCCCCATCAGCACTGTAATTAACTTACCCAAAGGCAGAACATTACACAACTAGGTCTTGACCCTAGCATCCTAGTTAGAGGGGGAAAGGGGCTGAGTTAATCTTAGTCCATCAACCCCCCTGATGTCCAAGTCCCTTACCCATGAAGCCCTATTGATCCAGAACCGTACCCCTGGAGTAAGGGCCTCTTGCCTTCAGTTGGGGAAGTCTCTCTTGCCTTGGGCCAAGGTACCTACAAAGGTCAAACCCACGATGACCCCTTCCTGGGAACAGAATATAATTCCTTTGGTCTGGGGCTCTTGCTGCTACCTGTGAAGTCCTTCCATTCGGACCAGGTTTTGCTGAGGGTTTGCATTCACAATCCTTCCTTCTGGAGCCTCCCCAGTTAGGAGCACTCTTCCTTGGCCTCCTTTCCTGATGAGCTCTCTCAGCAGCTCCTCCTGAGAAGCCTCCCAAGAAGTCCTCCCCTTGGCACTTCCTCTTTCTGTGTACTGTTCCTCTCCCCATCAGTCTTTATTACCCACTGGGAGTAGCTTCCTAGCCAGCTCCCCCTGAGGAGTTCTTTTCCAGCATTTCTTCCCTGTGATCTCCCCTGTCTGAGCCCACATAACTGTTTATAAAGCCCAGGTGTTCCTTAACTAATTGCCTGAATAGCTGGGTAGTAGTTAATCAATTATCCGCAGATGGGTGTTGGTTGTCTCATTCTCTTTAGCACAGCCTGTCATAGGTAGGCTGAGGACCTGACCATCCTCAGGGGCCAGCTACCCTGTAACATCCCTCAAGTAATTATTTTGCATCAATCCACTGCATGTGTTTAAAATGTGCCATTACATAAGTTAGTGAAATCCAGTTAATTACTTTCTGGGATCTACCACAACTTCAAAAGTTGACTCTTAATTTCACAGTATGACCTACCCCTAGCCTCATCTTCATAGTACTGTGTTATACTTATATAACAATGAAGAAACAGAACCCAACAACTAGGACCCAGTTCTTTTTGGACAGATAGATAAAGCCAAATTCTGCATATGGATGCATGCACATGAGCCTCCCATTTAAATCTGTTTGAGCTGTGCGCATGCATCCAAGGGCACCTTTTAACCGTTTGAAAAATGTGTAACTTTAATGGTTCAACATTTACATTTTTCAAAGGTGTTTCACCTATAATAACTGTGAGCAGTGCAAAGAGCTTTGGGCTGTCCTCTGAAGAGAGAGCAGTAGGAGACAGGTGACAGCACTGGGCATAGTGGGATTACATTGCACAGTTTAATTAATAACTAAAGTAAGCCACCTATTTACAAATAAATAAATGAATAAACCAGTTCTTTCATGTTAAATACAGACATACAATTTCTCTCGATTCCTACTATCAGCTAAAAATAAAATTTGTAATGAATGCACAAATATGACAAAAGGGTGACAAGAGAATTTAGCCTGATTCCCTTAGGCTGCCAGAGGTTAAATTTATTGTGGCGGAGAAGGAAAACAGAAACAGAGAGAAACCCCTTCTCATATCTATTACTCAACCTGTGGTTTGTATATATCCAAATCTCTGAATCTTGTGAAATTTAAATAAAGAACAATGCCATCTGCTGTTGTAGGGCCCTGAAGGGATGTAAATATTTATTTGGAGAGGGTTTTCTCAACTGAATTCATTGATCAGGGAGAGGAGATTGGTATTATTACCAAGTACTAACATGATTGATTGTGACATATGAAACTGTGCCACCTCTCATTTTTTATGAAGCCTTCAATACAATATATATGGTAATGTATTAAAGGTAACATTTTATTATATATTTATTTATTTCAAATTTCCACAGTAATTCCCATTAGATGCACATTGTCAAGGCTAATTTAATACATCACCTTAAACATCAACTAATAGGACAATAAAATTAAGTAAATGTTACCAAGCATTATTGCCTTTTAAAATAAGCAATTGAAGTAATATACGCAACCCAATCAACTAGGCAGATTCATATTCATGAATGGCATTTCTGTTCAGATTTTTTTGTTTCCAATCCAAAAGTAAAAGGGAATACATTCCTAATTTTTATTTGGCAGCCAGTTGTAAGCAGTTATTTTAACTGTTTGCCAAATAATGTATTTCTCATTTGCATAATTCATCTTAAATGCTGAAGACTAGAGGATTAGAAAAGACATGTAAAATAGGGTATTTCTAAACTAGAAACACTGCAGTGGCACAGCTGTAGTGTAGACACTTACGACAGCAACAGCAGGTGTTCTTCCATCGCTGTAGTAATTTCACCTCTCAGAGGTGTTAGCTAGGTCAATGGAAGAATTCTTCTGTCAACCTAGTGGGGTCTACACTGGGGCTTAGGTCGGCTTCACTGCATCTCTCAGGGGTTTGAATCTTTCACATACTGAGTGATGTAGCTAGGTTGACCTAAGTTCTAGGTTTAGGGTAGGCTATAGTCACTTTCTTGGTGGCTCTGATTTAGTCAAAACAAACACATCCGTCATAAAGGGCTAGATTTACTGGAATGGGAGTACTTGTGTGAATAACTACATGCCACTGTGAACATGGAGTTCCCAGTCTGGCCCATAGTGTAAATCCAAAGGATACAGTAATTGGCAACTAGATTGCACTTTTGTGGGGGGTGGGGGGGGGAAGGGGGTGTTTGTTTACTTACCACACTAGACTTGTTTCTCTAATATTCTGGGTGCAACACAGCTACAACAACACAGAAAACTAAACAATAAAGGGCATAGGCAGCCATCACTCCACTTTCAAATCTCCCATTGTCATCAAAGTGGATAAAAGGTATTTTTCTGTAGTGTACTGGTAAAGTGACATAAAAGGCAGAATACTGTTCCCAAACATTCACCATCTGGAATATATTCACATTTTTGTTATGGTCTGAATAAGGTGACATCAAAAGAAGTAACAAAGGAAAAAATGTTGTATAAATGATAGGTCAAAGTCCAATCTTGATTCAGTTTTTGCCACTGTGAACAGATGTTATTTGATTCTGATCTAATTTTAATGTCCTCAAAATAATGCAAATATTTAGAATGCTAGAACAGAGAAAACTACATTTTACCCTCTCATGGATGGATATGGCTCATAGGGCAGAATCCATTTCAGAGAACAACTGATTTGTGACTCTGTAGGTTCTACAGCATATAGAAAACATGTACTATGATCAGAGCTTTTCCAGTTTACTACACTAATGTTTTTCTTTTAAAGTTCAAATTCATTTAAAATTGACTAACATGATAATAAGATATGATATTCACCAATCATTAAGAACTTCCACCTAAGTGATTTACCAGCATTTTGGCTAACTATGAATTATGGGCCTAATCCAACTCCTACTGAAGTGAATGGAGAGACTCCCATTGACTTCAATAGGAATTGGGGAAAATGATAATTTTTAATAGTATCTGTTAACTTTAAACAGTGGAAGTGATTTACTAAACCGGTCTGGTCACCAGAGCAAAGAACCAGGAAGATGACTGAATTCTAATCTAGCCTAACTGAAAAATGGTTGATTATGCCTATAGGTTCACCTTGTGACCTTCCTGTAGTTTAGAAAGACAAGGTAAAACAGGACCTAACTGTAACCAGATGCTGCTTCTGAGGTGAGCTTTCCCATTAACATAAACTGGAATCAATAAACCAACTCTGATTTGTTTATTGTATTATAACAATGAATAACTAACGACTGACTATGAAAACAGAAGTGTGTGGCCAGTCAAGATCAGATCAGGAATTACACATGTCTTTTCTCTAAACAATGTTTTACAAAAAATATACAGATATAGGTACTATACATTAAACTTGGGAATAATTATCTCTCCAATTAAGCATTTTGTAGACATAAAAAACGACTCCTTTTAAAACAACAGAGAAAAATGTGAACCCTGTATAATCCAAAAACAACTTCACTGCGCCGTGTTTTCTATGTGTAGCGCCTCTGCTTTTTGACCTATCAGATGTTGCCTGGCAAGCATGGATGGTAGAGTTGATTTCATAATTAAAAACAGATCCTTTAATCAATCGTCTTTGCAAAAATTCCCACAAGGTCCGACTCAGAAAGATTTGAAAACAGGTATGTTTGTACTTGAAAAAGGTTCCTCCTGTTCACTATTTATACATATTCATATATGGCTCTATCTTCAGTGGGTTTTAGTACCAGCCCATACTGAAGTACTTAATCCTTGTGCTTTTTAAAGGGGCAAAGGGAGGAACACATACAAGTTTTAGAAACAACATTTAAATATAAATGGAACACAAGCACTTCACTAGGAAGCATTCACTATCCTCACAAAGAATTGTATTTTTGGGGGGGGTTGGTTTGTTTGCTTGATTTTTTTTTTTTTATTTTTTTTTTATGAAAGATCTCCCAAAGCAGGCAGCTCAAGCCAAAAGGAAAGGCTAAACATACTCAGTAGGGGGCTGTTTTTCATTTGTTTTATTGATACAAGGCCTTTTATTTAAAACAAAACAAAACCAACAAAGCCCCAAAACTTGTCATTCTGATTTTATTAAGCAATGCTCTCACTCCCATGCCTCGACTTTGCTGTAGTTACTGCTTCCTGTTGGCAAAGACCAGCGTGAACACTGTCAGTATGTATGAAAACAGGATTCATGCTTCACAACAACATTTGGTTGATAGTTACCTCATTTATAATGATCCAGTGACAGTCAAAAGCAACCAAATTAGTCTCCACAACCTGAAATAGAGAACAAAGCAGCTATCAGTCAGCTTATTTATAAAAGCTAAATAAATAAATAAATAAATAAATAAATAAATAAAGTGGAATGGATGCTCTCTGCAAATGACAAATAAAGGAGCACATGCTCTGAAAGACCTCTGTTATTCAGCTGAGGATAGAGAACCTTTAGCAGATGCATTTGTGTTATTGTTTGACTTGCTAATTAAAGATGGAAATATATTTCAATGCAGGCATAACAGAAGAAAATAGGTTTCAGTTGATTCAGAAGAAAATGAAATCATTTTTGCTTTAACACTGTATAGTGAGATGGAGCAGAAGAAAGAATGGCAAAGAATCAGTGCATTCAGACAAGATACCTACTGTCGCAAACTGACCAAATTTCTAAATCTCCAAACCATGATACCTTCTCAATGTTCACCTATCTTGGATGTGTGAGTGGGAAGGAAATGTGGAGATTCTGGTCATCCAGATTAAAACATTTGGGGATTATATGAATAGAGGAATAGGTGGGGAAAGATATTTTTGAGAGAGAAAGAGGAATGTGTCATTGTGGCAGTTTTGGGAGACTACATGTAAAGAATGACCTACTCTTGCCTCTATTTTCACAGGTCCCTTGCTGTCCCCTCCCACTTCTATCTTGTCACTGAAACAGATTCCAAAAGCTGTCTTTGTGGTGGGTCCAAGATGCTACCTCCCCTTCTTTATTCTGTGCTATCATTCTTCATTTTGTGGGCAAGACTCACTCAGGAGAGGAACAAAGAGAAAGAAGAAGAGGAGGCGAGATGAGTGGGCTGGCAATGTCATGAGCCCAGGAAAGAGGCAGCTGCAGGATCTGACTTTCACACCAAAGTAGGAAGTGGGGAGGAGGAAGCAGAGGAGGGAAAAATCATAGAAGAATGTCAAAAATGTCTGGACATCTCAGTTCGTTCTACTGGTTTCAAATGAACAGGCATTGCAAACCAAACCAAGATTGGCTTTGCTTGATCTGGTAACTCTACCGATATTGGCTCTAAAACAGTAAGCACCTAGAACTGCTATAAATCACAGGGCAAGGAAGCTAGGTATTGTAATGCTGCTTTGTGAAAGCATAAAACAACATTGACATTGTGGTAGCTGAATGGTAGTAGTCTATTGTTATTGAGGCCGGGGAGATGCACAGCACTGATTTTTGGCTTTGGGATGATTGTAGTTTATATAATACTATGACCAAAGGAGAGAGATTTAACTGGTTACTAATCTTAAGAGAGAGGTAAGATCCCCAGAACTGAAAACCACCATTATTAATTCAGAGGCATTGGAACTGGGGTCAGTTCTCATTTGCTACATTGATGCGCAGTACAGGAAATTCTAACCTAGAGAGAGACTGAAAGCAGGTTCTGGGCAGCTACATATAAATAGGCCTTAGATAGGAAACTCTCTCCAGTGCTGAGATGATCATTTGGGGAAATGAGATTGCTGTGTCAATGTATCTCTGGGTAAATATAAACATTATTTGTAGTAATTCATGACCTAACATTGAATTTAGATACAGTGCATTATATTTAAGGTAACCAGACAGCAAGTGTGAAAAATCGGAACAGGGGGTCGGGGGTTATAGGATCCTATATAAGAAAAAGACCGAAAAATCGGGACTGCCCCTATAAAATCGGGACATCTGGTCACCCTAATTATATTCTCCATGTTATTATACTGGTTCTACTATTTCGTCATGTTATTTTGATTGGTCCTATTGATGAGTCAGAGGCAAGGGGCTCCCCATTTATCTTTGAGAAGAGGTAAGTGTGGCATCTCCTGGATTTTGTCAAGAAGGTTTCTCATGTATAATGCCTGATGTTAAGAGATGAGATAGCAGAGAGGGCTCTTTGCTTGTTACTTTGATAGCCTCTGGTTTTATTCTCATTATTCCATTCAGTTGTACATCTACTACCCTCTGTGTAACTGAGGTGTGGTTGAGCATGCTATACACCTGATGAATGAGCTGCTCATTTGATGCTGGTCTATCAAGAGGACTTTCAAAACCCTACACAGAGTACCGTTACTCCACAGCTACTGAATGATTAAAATGGGTTTCCCTGAGCCCTTGTGACATTTTTTCTTTTTTGTTTGTTTGTTTTGAGTTACACGTCTCTGTTTCTACTCCCTACTTTGTATTTTGAACTTTTTTCCGTCTTTATTGTACCACTTGCGCATTTGGTAATAATAATATATTATTTTGATATTTTGTTGAATTCCCCACAGTAGACTTTTATGACACACCTACAGGGACAAGATAGAACTGAACAGTGAAATGATGTGAAGCAACATAGCACACATCCTGGCTGTCATTGGTCTGATCAGATATCATGTATCAAATCAGTTGGAAGATAACCAATAATAAGAGAAGAGAGAGTTTGGAAATTGAGGGAGTAGTAATAGTCCAGCACTGCCTCCCAAAGAAAATTTCCTAGTACTGTCATGCCATAGAAAGTTAAAGACTAAATTAAGAAAAATTCAAAAGAAACATTTTTAGTTGTAATTTGCAGATTTGTTGAAATCAACACATTCCGCAGGACCATGTCAATTCTGAGGAATTGCTGCCAGAAACCAGGCAGATTTTCAACAGACTCTTACCTGCCAGACAGTTTTCAAAACCTGCCTGGTGCCTACCTTGCTCCTCAGCAGCCTGCTTGGTGGGCTGATGGGGAGCCAAGAGCCCGAAAGCCCTAGCTCCTAAGTTTGGGGCTCCTTAGAAGTCCAGGTTTCCAGGCTACAGGACAGCTTCCCAGATGGACTGCCCTGAAGCCAGGGCTCTGACTAGAGACGAGCAGAGAACGGTAATTCCGATTTGTGGAGAATTTTGGGCTTTTACACTGAATTGGAATGTAACCAAATTTTGAAATCTTTACATCCTCCATGGAACAGAGTTCCCATGCCTTGTCCAGCTCTAATTAAGATCTGGGTGAATAACTGATTTTTCAGTTCTGAAAAAAATCGGGGGGAAAAAAGAGTTTGGATCAAACCAAATTGGAAAAGTCAGTTTTGGGTCAAATGAAATAATTTGTTTGATCCCAAACATTTTGTTTCTGCACCTTTTTAAGGGCTATATTATGAAATTGCAGAAGGAGGAGGAGATAAAAGTGGTACTTCCCTTGTAAGCTGTAGCCTAGTAGTTAAGGCACTCACCTGATATGGGAGACCAGGGTTCAATTCCCCTCTCTGCCTGTTATGAAGATGGCATTTGAACTTGAGTTTCTGACATTGCAGGAGAGTGTCATGGCTACGGGGTATTCTGATATGGAGCTCTCTCAATCACTCCGGTTGAACAATACAAAGTGGAACAATTTAACATAAGAGATTGGAAAATATCCACATCAGAGTATCTGTGGCTGGGGCACTGTCCTGAAATGCCATAGACTCAAGTTCCAATCCCACATCAGGAAGAGGGGAAACACAATGTGGGTCTCCCCCATTCCAGGAGACTGGGCTAAAACTTACAAGGAAGGGATTGGTACCACCACTCTCCTCCTTCTCTGGCTAATTTCTGAATGGCATCTCAGTCCCAAAACTTTTTTTTTTTTTGGCTAAAATTATTTGGTGCATTTGTACATATTCATGAAAAGTTTTGGTGCCCCCAAAATACATTTTTGGCAAATTTAATATTTGCTGAAAATAATTCACCCAACTCTAATTAAAACGCAAAATGAGGATGATTGCTGCTATATATCCGAGGCACTGGTTTGATCCACCTTATCTTCTATTTCAAATTTGGTTTCTGACTTATTTGGCTCTTTATATAATGCAGTCAGCTTTTTAACCTTCAGTCAGCCAGGACATCTTCAGCAGATCAAGACCTTTGAGGTTCACTTTTTTAAAATTACATACTGATACAAATGCAACATGCATTTGTTCAGACTTCGGCCCCTCCCAGGAACTACAAACACCTGTGACCCATAGCCAATGAGAGAGAAGGTGGGTGAGGTAATATCTTTAATTGGACCACCTTCTGTTGGTGGAAGGAACAAGTGTTGAATGTCACAGATCTCCTCCTCAGGTCTGGGAACGTGATCAGAGTGGCCAAGCTAAGCACAAGGTGGACAGATTAAGAACAAGGGGATCACACATGTTATCGGAGAACATACAAAATGAAGTGAATAATTAACATCTCTGCAGTCTTAGAACAAAGGACTCACATTCTTAGTGAATTGTCATTGTTTTAGGAATTCACTTTGTCCTGAAGGCTGCCAGAGAAGAGTTTAGATTTCAGTATCTTTTCCCCTCTGAATTTTTTAGGGTTGAAGGTGAATCTTTGGGAGGTTGATCATGGGGTTAGGAAAGTTTCTGAAGAGGTGGGTTTTCTTACATAAACGATAGTCTTGTGGTTAAGTGATCAGACTGGGAGTCAGGAGATGAGGGTTCAATTCTTGGCTCTGCCCAGGGCCGGCTCCAGGGTTTTTGCCACCCCAAGCAGCAAAAGAAAGAAAAAAGAAAAGCCGCGATCGCGATCTGCTCTACCGCAGCCGCTTCAGTCTTCAGCGGCGGGTCCTTCGCTCCGAGAGGGAGTGAGGGACCCGCTGTCGAATTGCCAGTGAAGAGCCGGACGTGCCGCCTCTCTCCGTTGGCCGCCCCAAGCACCTGCTTGCTGGGCTGGTGCCTGGAGCCAGCCCTGGCTCTGCCACAGACTTCCTGTGTGACCTTGGGCAACAATCTCTCTGGATGAAATGCTGAACCCACTGGAATCAATGCAAAGCTCTCATTAATTTCAATAGAGTCAGTATTTCACCCTCTTTGTAGAACTTTCCTATCTGCAAAATGATGATGCTAATACTATTCCCTTTCTCCCAAACTTGTCTGTATAGATTGTAAGCTCTTCAGGATAGGGACTTTCTCTTACTTGCTGTGGGTACAGTGCCTAGCCCAATGGGCTACTCTCCTATCACCACCACTCTACTATTAATATCTTTTGGACATGTTTACATTATTGTGCTTATGTGCTTTTGTAGTGTGCCACAAAAATTCAG